GACCATCAACATCTCTGACATCGAGAACTATCGCGGGTTTGAAGCTTCCGAGCGCAAAGCTGACAAAGCCTTTAGAAAAACTAACCTCTAAATCTAGGAAACGAAACCAGCCCTCTTGCCTGAACTCAGACAAGTCTTCAGAAAAATTCTCTAACGCCACGTCCTTGCTGTCAGTAAACAAGATCTCTAGATTGTCATCTACCGGGTATCGCGTTAATTTGGGAATCTCGTCAATAAATTCCCTAATAACAAACAAGAAATTTTCCGACCACCAGCATAAAAACCTTGACCCACATTGATTGCTTTTAAAACGTTGTTCAACTTGGCTGGTATAGACATTCCATACGTTGATATATCCATCTGAGTTGCAGGATGCAAGTCGAGAGCCGTCAGGAGAAAACGAACTCGAATAAACTTTCGTTAGCTGTGACAGACAGGATTGCTCTTGTTTAGGAGCTAATGTCTTAAAGACAATTAGTTTTTCATAATCTGAATAGAGCCACAGATTATATTCTAAAGCTGGTATTTTAATTGCTTGAGAGTAAAAACGGTCAGCAGGGGCGGAAGCAAAATAGTTCCAAGCAACAATCGCAGTCAAAGGAATGCGTTCTGTGTCACTCGAATAACAAAATTCTTCCGAAGAAAAAATACACTCCACACCTTTGCAGATCCACGGAGAAGAAATTGTATTAGGATAATTCCAACGTTTCCATATTTTTAACCGTTTAGAATTTAGTTTCCTAAATCCCCGCTGAAAACATCGTTCACATTTCCTACTCTTTAACACAACTGGTTTCTCCTTTTCCCCGTGAGATAATTTTCGCTTATCACTTCTTTGCAATGTGATGGCGTTCCAAACACACAACGAATAACCCGGATAAGATTGAGATTTAGAATTTCCAATAATAAATAACCCTGTGACGCTAAAAGAACACCGACGAACGGGAAATCCAGCGCAAAGCGACGACAGCAGCGTTTGTTTAGCAACGTCCCATAGTTTAATGCTGTTTGAACCGTCGCTAGTCACCAGTCTTTTGCCGTTAGGGGAAAATGCACAGCACGCGAATTCCTCTTTATTTCCAGGGAAAAATGGAACTTCCTTTCTTCCAGAAATGTTAAACGCCGTTTCCAGTTTACCAAATAATATGAACGAATCGTCTGGAGAAAATGTGCAGCATTCAATGCTTTTCAATTTTGTTGAATAACTCATAATTTCAACTAACGTTGGTAGAGATAACACATAGATAACATTCTTTCTTCCAACTGCTACTCTTTTCTCATGGTTAGAAAAAGCAATTGTAATCGTATTAAAGTCACACAGTTCGTAACTGGGTTTCCAGAATGCTCGCGGCAAAACCGAAACTTCGTAAGAATTCCTCTCGACAAAAAGTGAAAGGTTTGATAGTAGTGTCTCAGCGATTTTCTTCTCATCATGGCTGAAATAACCTTCTGGAGAACAGGTAAGAACCGTTTGTAAATACCATTGTGAAATCGTTGAAATTATTATATATTTGTCATAGCCCGACATGCTATTCAGTGGATGAACCAAATAATCAAATTCAATGACATGGTACGAAATGCGTGCGCGTAAATCTTCGTTTTTAATGCAGGAACTTTGGAGTAATGTGAACCAGAAACGCCGCAATTCACTTGAATCGACTACAGTTAACATATAACATACGATAATAACATCAACTGACCAAAACACACCTTCTTCCATTTTACCCTTTTGTAGATGTTTTAAACCATATTTTAGAGCGTATTTTACGTCATTAGTAAACTTCACCTCACGTCCTGAGTGAACATTTTCCACAATTCCTTTAAAAACCTTTTCGCATAAAAGCCAAAGAGATCTATGTCCATCATCGACCTTGACAGTATACTGGTGATCTTTGTAGCCCTTTGCTAGAAGCCAATCAATAACGGATTTGTGAAAAACGGTTAACATGTCATCTGAAACGTACAACAAGCACGATATGGTTTGATTAATTTTGTTGATGATGTCTTTCGTTTCGCGACAATCCGGAGCTAAATCAAAAGTCTTAGCGACGAAAGTGAGGGGAAGAGGTCCTTGGGAAGCAGGCAGCATTTCCAAAATTTTTAACACATTGAACTTTTCATATTTTACGTCGCTAAGCTCGTCTTCAAGGCGTTTGAAATATCCTTGGTAAATAGAATTCAGTCCTTCTGGGAGAAACTTCATGACGTCATTTTTTGTTATCTTTTCAAGATCATAGTGAGCCTTTAGCCCAGATTGAAAGTGATATGCATAGAGAAATGAGCCCTGGCTTTTGGCAACAAATATGGAAAGTAAACTAGTAGTTCTATTTCGCCGAACGCGGTAAAGATATGGATGTTCCTTATAGAAATCACGGCTGATATCACTTTCACCCACTTCCCTGCCGACTAAACTTGGAAAACATTCTTTAAAATAAAGTTCAAGATCTGAGTTATTGTTGTCATCATTATTGGCAATGTCTGTCTTTTGATCGTCTCTTAGTCTTAGATCAGCAACGGAAATCTCTGGCCTGCTCGTCACCAAGATTTTGATGTACTCCGGAAGATCAGGAAAATATTCAGCAATCAAATGCGTAATTTCATTCTTATTATCGGCAGCACTTTCATCCAAGCCATCGATCACGACTAAACGTGGCTCTTTTATTTCCAATTCATCTAAGGGATTTTGCAAATATATTAGAAATGCATCTCTCAGGTTTTGGACTTGATGACGTCGTCCTAACTGATCAAGGAGCACCTCTTTGAAACCAGGGACGCTCTTGCACATCTGACTTGCGAGAGACTCCAACATCGCCATAGGATCTCTTAAGTTTGAATTGCTGAAATCACAAAAGTGACAAGCAGCCAGCTTTCCATTCTTCTCAAAATCTTCGCAGATTTTAGCTGCAAAAACGCTTTTACCAAATCCTGGTCCAGCTGTTATTAACTTTATTTTTGAATCGTTGTCACACATTTGAAACCACTCGTTAACTTTCTTTAACAACCACTCTCTTGTACCAGGAAGGAAGAAATTAACTTTTCTTTTAATTTGACCCTTAAAATTATGCTTAGCAAGTTTTCGCAATAAATCTTCATCACTTTCCATGCGAGATCTTTTTTCAGGAATGGTGTCCCCGGGTATTGATAGCGTACGCTTGGCCAATGACTGGTGCATTTGATTTACTGCATCATGCGTTTTATTTACTGCATCGCGCGTTTCATTTAGTACATCGCGCGTTTCAATTACTACATCGCGCGTTTCATATGCTACATCGCGCGTTTCATATGCTACATCGCGCGTTTCATTAATTGCTTTAAGCAATTTAATACACTTATCTTCGTGCAGTTTCCAATCTTTAAGCTTTTGCACATACATTTCTTCTTTAGGCCCTAAAGGATATTTTTCTAAATCGTCGACATCACTCTGTGAAACGCCCAATTCTACTATCGCCTGCGCAATTTTCTTCCATAAAGACTGAAATGTTGAATTGTCAACTCGAGTTGTTGTTACATGTGCGTAAATTTCATTTCTGTAACACTTGATTCTTGTGACATTCGCTTGCATTGATCTATCAGTATCCGGAGGCATTACACTCCATCCTGTTGATGGAAAACCACAAATGTTCCGGAATAGAACTGTAAGTAATGTGACATCGAAGGTTTTGGAATCTGGTGGGTTGCCAGACGGAGGAAACAGTAAATCCCACTGGGAATTATTAATAACTCGAGGTTTTAACTTTTGAAGAGATGTTTTGTTTGTAGCCAGTACTCCAGGTAGACTAACAGGTGGATGGATGGTATCAAATTTATATCTCAAAGCCTCAGTTCCTTTGTCAACTAAAAGTCTACTGAGTCTTGTAAAATTTGCTTTTTCTTGCAGTTCGTCAGAAGCCATGGCATTAGACAGGGTTAATTACTGTAACAAAATGTTGCACTAATTATATAGGCTACACTGAGAAAAAGAATGGGATGGAGTAGATTTTCATAAAAGAAAGTCGCAAGGATCTTGTTAAACAAAGGGATTTGTTGTGAAAATAATTTTGTGAAGAGACATATGTTTCCGGAGTAACGTTTCTGACTTGCTACCACCCATATGACAAAACTCACATGAACTTAATTTTAGAATTTCCATAAACATTCCGTCTGTCTTATTTGTGTGCGGAAATGGGATTTTTCTTGATATTATAAATTTTGAAAGCCTGTTCTCATTTATAGACATAGTATGAGCTGAATGTATTTTGTTGCCAAATAATATATGAAAATATCTCGTGTATTTAAGATCTATTGCTACTCCATTTTTTTCACTTCCGATTGTACACTATCGTTGAAGTCTTTTTATAAATTCCATTTATTCAAGCGATAATTTTGCTCTCGATCATTTATTTTCACAAATAACACTTCATAAAACATTTCTCTTCGCAGACTGGTGGCTGTGCCTCCTCAGGATGTAACCAGTTAAGCTGGATTATTATATTTTCGTAAGTTTATGCAGTACTACTAGGCGCTCAGGGATCGAGTCTATTAAAATAAAACTGTATTGATCGATCCTTAGTCTCAGAAAAACTAATCTGCCTTATTTGCTGTTTAGTGTTTGATTATTGTCAGATTTTAGTTTCTGAGCCTCGCAATCGTGTTATGAATTATTTCCATATTGGTTACCAGTTCATTTAACATGACGTCACAGCTCCGTACTGTGCCACTCAATAGAATACAATAGACACTCATACTGTTAATATTCGAAGAACGTAATGACGTCACAGCTCTGTACTGTGCCACTCATTAGAATACAATAGACACTCATACTGTTAATATTCGAAGAACGTAATGACATCACAGCTCTGTACTGTGCCACTCATTAGAATACAATAGACACTCATACTGTTAATACTCGAAGAACGTAATGACGTCACAGCTCTGTACTGTGCCTCTCAATAAAATACAATAGACACTCATACTGTTAATATTCGAGAAACGTAACCAACACTGACACAAACGTACCTTCTCAAATCTTCAAAGCGATGATTCCACAACATGGTCAAAATTCTCAGGAAGGATAACGGACAGATGGACTGAAATGTAGATTTAAAACCTAGAAAAAACAAATTCTGATTGTAGCTTTAACCCACCCAATCAGCGGTTAGAATGTCATGTGGGTGAGACAAAGGAGACAAAACTAAATAATTACCGTCATTTTATAATAAGAATCATGACTTCTTATTAACTGAGCCCAAGGTCTTAACCGAGAGATATCGGACCGAGGTCTTTTTGAACAGACCGAACTCGACATAAGAGCCAAGTTTGTACAAAAAGATCGAGGTCCGATAAAGACCGAGCAGGCAAGGTTAATAAAAAGTTTATTATATGGCACAAGGCATATATTTTCACTTGAAACAAAAAAGAAATACATGAATTCGTATTAGTAGCCTGGTACGCATGTGATAAAAACAAAAACAAAATATTTCTATTATTGAATTATTTAGTTTACCTAAACTGTCTGGAGACGTCTTATTCATTTCAAAAGCAATTATATACGTCATCAGTCTACGTCACTACGGAGTACCATGAGAAGCACGCGCTCGCTTTCCTAGCCATTGCACACACGCTTTCTTAGCCGCAAAATTAAATTTCTCCATCGCTGAAGATTTGTTAAAAAGCAACTTTGCATCCTTTAAACTTACTCTTCTAGCAAGACTTAGAGTAATTTGGCTTACTTAGAATAAGAGACTTAGAGTAACGTAGAGTGATTTGGTGAAGGTTTATTAGTTAGTCCTTTTCAGGCTTTATTTCACAATTTAGCTTTTCGCGGGATAAGTCGGATAACACAAAATATTGTCATGAATCCGACCAACAGTGATTCTCAATCTTCTGAAAACCCCATGACTTTAGGTCAACCTGATCATGTTAACTGCCTACCAGGCGAGGCCACCGCCATTACTCTTTGGTGATGATTTGGCTAAACAAGTGAGAGATGCCAAAGAAACTAGTAATATAAGCCAAACCCTTGGCGCTAGCCGAAATAGACAAGCCCGGACCAACCGTCCAACATATCGACCCGATAATCGTTTCACTAATTCTCCTCCACCGAGAAACAACAATTCTGACTATCGGGCTGACAACAGGCCTCATTTTTTGGGGAAGGGCCAGAAAAAACCGATGTTCAAAAACAAACCCGGCAGGAGGAAATTTTGAGTACTCTCAAACAGATTAAATTATCGGTAAGTCAATTTCCGCTTATTTTTGACCGTTTAACAAACTACATACTTACGACTTCGAGGCGACAATTTCCAGGCTGGCAATGTTAAAAAACTCTATTTCAGCCTGGAAAAAGTTAACTTCTGAGCCAGAAATCTTGAACACTGTGACAAGCACCATCATCAATTTGATACTCCGACAATAACAAGCACATGTCCTAAAATCCCATTTTCGATCAAGAAATCGGATATTATAGAACAGGAAATTGCAAAAATGCTCGCTAAAGGTATTATTGAGTTCACCGCACACACTCCAGGCGAGGTCATGTCCGATATTTTTATCAGACCGAAAAAAGAAGGCAGCCGCAAGCTAATATTAAACCTTAAAGGCCTAAATCAATTTGTTTTTTATCATCATTTCAAAATGGACACCCTACACTCTATACTGAAACTGATAGAACGAGGTTGCTTCATGGCTTCGCTCGACCTTAAAGACGCATATTATTCGGTCTCTATCAATCATCCTGATGGCAAGTACCTTCGCTTTGTTTGGCAAGGAGTTCTATATCAATTCACTTGTTTGCCAAACCGGTTGTCAAGTTGCCGACGGACATTCACAAAATTACTAAAACCCCCTTTGACTGCCCTCCACAAATTGAGCCATATTATTGCTAGTTATATCGACGATATTTTCCTTTAAGGTAACACCTTTGAACAATGTGTATCTAATGTTATCGATGTTATCTTTTTACAATTCGACGACCTGGGTTTCTCAGGAACTGATTTTATTGGGTTTCAAAATTAATTCTGTCGACATGCAATAACCCCAACATCAGAGAAAAAATTAGCCTTACGACAACTATATGCGTGTCTTTACTATCAAAACATAGGCCTACTATTCGAGAGGTTGCGGAAGTTATTGGTAAGATCATTTCATCATTCCCGGGCGTAGAGCATGGGCCTCTATATTATAGAGCTCTAGAACGTAACAAACTGAAGCCTTAAAATCATGTAGGGGAAACTTTGACGCACACATGTCCTTATCTGAAGACTCAAAACTTGAACTTCACCAACAATATAGCTGAGTCAGAAAATGTTATTTCGCGAGGTAAACCGTCCCATGTGCTCACAACAGATGCCTCCCTCACTGGCTGGGGAGCGGTCTACGAGGGCAATCGCACCGGGGGATTTTGGACAAATGACGAAAAATTATGCCACATTAACTATTTGGAGTTACTAGCGTTGTTCTCCATATTCGTGTCTACCTTGATAACACGACCACAATTGCAGTAATTAACCATATGGGTACTAGTCACTCTCCAAATTGCACACTTATCACTCGTGGTAATTTCCTAGTCTGTGGCAGCTAAATTGACATATTTTTGTCATTCATTTTGTGCTCAATATGACGACACAAATGGCAGAATATCTCAATTTTGTCCCCGCAACATGTGCAAGTCAAAATTGTTGTGTGAGTGTTAAGTGCAGCAGTGTGCGACGAAGAAAACATTTAGTTTGGTCTAATGCATAAACTGTAAACTTACAGTACGCGAAAATTGTTAATAATCACTAGGACATATGTATTATTGAATTTAACTACAAATTTCATACGTCATTGTAAGACAATAAAATTTACGAATTTATAGCTTTATTAATTTCAACCAGTGAAGTGCTCTTTGTAAATGCTTCATTTTACTGATGTCGTGTTGGACGGGCGATATGAAGTATAATTGTATAGATTCTTTCATCTTGCATATTACATCATCTCTTTAAATATCAACAGTGTTTAAAATTTCCTACCTCAAACTTGGTTAAACGAATCACCATAAACGATCATTAAAGATGACAACTTGAATAAGATATTTTTCTTCACATGATAAAACTTCTTATTTCTAAAAGAAACCACATCAAGAAGTAATTCCACACAGCTTAAGATAAAGTTACTCCACAGCTTATTTGTTAAACACGATGGCCTGGTTAGTAATTGTCCAGCAAGTTAATACGTCGCTTTAGAAACCAACAATGCGTGAGATGAGAAAACTTAAGATATCAAACAAAGCCAGTTTGAAGCTTTTAATACGACGCCAGAGCGCTTTGCCGTGGTTATTTAATTTGTCGACCTAAAGCTTACTTCGTGTGATAGTTGTCAATCGAGTCGTTTTATTGCTTCAAATTTACAGGATTTCTTTGCGAGAAGTAGATATATACTTTTAGCTTTTTTAAACTTTTCAAAGGCTTGGTATTGTGATATAAACAGACTATATTTCTTGGTTGAACGCCTCTGCAAAAGAAAAGGAACAATTTGATAGTAGAATAAGCTGAGACTGGTTTCGGAATCTAGTTGGTCAGAATGAAAAAACAGGATCATTGTTAAAATATAAAGTTCTATTCAAAGCGCTAGTTCTCGTCAGATGAAACATATGAAAGATAAATGTGGCAAATTTAAGGTAAAAGACGACCCATGACGTAATTCCACCGCCTTTATGTCAATATTATTACGGCCACGAGAAACAATTTGCTAAAGCGAAATTATTGACAACCAACAAGATATGTTATAGTTAGACGAATGAAGGATATTAGGAACGAAATTAACGACTGATTTTATTCAAGGTTTTGCTGAACGTTATAATATCACGCCACAGTGCTGTGCCGGGCCTAGCATACTTCCGCTGTTGAAGAAAAAAAATTATTTACAATCTTGAAGGAGACAAAAACGTACCTATGGCTACGAAATCTGATCATTCACGACGTAAACACAATTCCACAGGCCACAAATAAATTGATCAACGCAAAGAAATGTTCACAAATCCAGCAGACAAAATAAACCAAACACTCTGATGGTATCCTGTCGGTTAATTTGTTCAACTCAATGTTGTAAAATATCCGTGGTGTTAATTTAAATGCATCGGCCTAATGCGCGTAGTTACTTCGTATAATCTCTGATTTCATCTTGTGCCGAGATCTCTGATATATATTTTGAAACCTGGTAAAACCAAAACTAACGTTGACTTCAAACATTCAGTTCAACACCAAGTACTTTAAATATAAACTATCGATATTTTACTGAAAAACCCGCAATTTAAAACAAATTAAACATGGTCAATAATATCAATGCACCCACGCAAACATATTAACACATGCACTTTTAAGAGGAACGTTGACACTCGAAAATCTCACATGAGTAAATGATACTTGCTGAAGATCCCAACACTTTCTAGTGCTCGATGATCAAATAATTTCATGTGAAATACTTTTCATTGAATATTTATCAGTAGTTTTTTAGATATTTCAGTTTCAACTTAAATTTTATGTTAATATTAGGTTAGTTATTGTTGCTCCAATATAAATATCAGCTGAAATGAACTTCTGAGGACAACAATGAGCTGGTGATAAATTTATGCAAGGAATTAAAACATAAAAACGATTCGAAGCCGCTGTCTTCTGCTTATAATTGATTGTCGCAGTCGTCGAAGAATTAGCGAAAGCTAATGGAGTCAATTTGACAGTGGAATAAATAGTTTGAAACTAGTGACATATAAACAAGACGATGGTTGAAATGGTCCTCAGATAAAACAAATATTAATTTGCCAATTACTACCATAAATGACGCGCTATGACCTAATATCTGAGCCCTAACAACAATTCACTTTTACTACAGTTATAAAAGACGAATTTGCTGGAGCCAATCGGTTCATTATTGACAACCAGCATGATATGCTATAGTAAGACGAATATAGGATATTTCGGAGCAAAATTTTGGATTTTATTCAAGGTTTTACTAAACGTTTTAACATCACACAAGAGCGCTGTGCCGTGTCTCGCATACTTCGCTGTTGACGATGTAAAATGATTTATAATCTTCAAGAAAGAGACAAGAACGTACCTTTATCAATTCTTCAAACGGACAATCCAACTACGTGGCCATAATTCAACGTGATTTAAGTCAGAACCAAACCAAATAGACGCTAAGAAATGTACACAAACCTAGCGAACAAGAATACACCAAACACTCTGATGGTATCCTGCTGGTTGTTTAATGAACTCAAGTCATGCATTCGAAATTGTCGTTGTGTGTGTGTCATACAGGTTGTGTTAAAAACAATATAATTTCCATAAGTCGATATTGCAGAGAACATTTCAATATCCGTGCGACTAATTATGCTTCTAATATTTGACGTATTTGACATTAGAATAACCACACAAAGTTCAATTTCAGAATATCCAAGCGTGGATTGTGTTCACGCACCCTTTGGATCAATTAGTGATAAATTACGCCTGCAGTTGCAGTTTTCTAAAACACTCTACAAAACCAGTCTAATTGTGTTATAGTCTAATTTTCTTTGTTAATATTCCTTATCACTGATTTTGTCTTGTGTCGGCGAGATCTTCCTCATTGAAAGGTAGGATCCTCCTCGTATATGGAAGTGACCAGAGATTTTCTACCATGCAGATCTACACAAAACGTGTTGTTCCAAAGCTAAATGTGTGTTCAGATACATAAATGCGCAGTTACCAATTATATAGAGGATTAGTCAAAAAGGCCTTCATGTGAATTTTAATCAATATCAGAATATCAGTAGCGGACCAAGGCAAGAACTCATGCAAAGAAACTCCATTTACTTAGCCCCGTTTATAGAACGAACAATTTTGGTGGGACACGCTTAATTTTTTCAAAGCAGGCCAAAAAAAATTTGGCGCCGTAAATAAGACTGTTTTACCCTGAATACCACAAAATTTTAGAAAGCACCCAATAGAATATTTTTGGCGCCCATAACCACACCGCAGTTGCTATATTAGTCAGCAGATTAACAAAGCACAGATGCATCAATTGAAGCAAATGAACATGGTTTAGTTGACAAAATAAAGGAAATAAAGACAACTTGTTAGATCATCTGGTAATCAAGCCATAAAGACCTTCTAAAAAATTTATCCTTCGAAGAAAAACGAATCTTTTACTTCGTGTTATAGTGTCGGTATTTTTGCATTTTATAACTTGTTGAATGACTTCAGCACCCTAGGCTTCTATTAAAACATTTGTTTTCGTATCCGACCAGAGCTTTTCCTGCTGTTCTTTCCCGCCATTTTGCAGTAATTATTTAATCTGCGCATGATCAACAATAAAAAATTGCTAATGAAATCAAAGAACATTCGAGGCAGACCCTCATTCAAATCAGATTCAAAATTGCTGATGCAACTCAATATTTTCGGCACGGTGTCCATGCTTTGACAGTTCGAGAACATCTTTTAAAGCGGTCTCGACACGGATAAAATTACTGGTCTGCGGATTTCATTATCCACCACCACCTATCATCGCTGACTGTCGGTGACATATGAAAACGAGGAAGCCAAAAAAGAAACTACACGTTCTGTCTTTCGAAAAACAAATTTACCCTGTGTTATAAGACAATGGTAATCCATTCATTGAGATAATTTCAGCGGTTAATAATAATGAAGTGACGACATTCAATAAGAAATAAACGCATTGTTCAAGAGAAAGAAATTACATTTTGACAAACCTCTCTCTGTCGGAAAGAATTCGTCGGCGAGTGTCTCCCAAAATGCAGGAAATCAAGTCATAGAGACTCTGAAATACAAAAACCTTTTCTGGGGGAGGTATTAATTGGTTTCTTTGTATTCACCTGCTGTTTCTTTTATTTTCTCGAAGGTAATAATGATTCAGCTAATTTATTCAGCCAATCTGGCAACCCTGGTTCTTGGTGTAACAAGACGCCCGGTATAGGCGTTAACTCGGGCTATGTAGTCGGTAAATACACTGCACTGAAACTGAGCTATATTGATTGATACACTGTTGATACACTATATTGATACACTCCGCGCAGCGAGACTAAAGGCCCACAAAGACAGGACGCGAATTGGCAACGCGGCGCGAATTTTTAACGTTTTATATTTTTCAAAAGCAAATAAAATTTAACTTATCAAAGTTTTCTTGTAGATTGCATTAAAATAATAAATTTTGATTGCTCTAGCGTCCATAGATTCCAAACTTTGATCCTAGAATTTAATTTATATGCTTCTGAAAACTGAAAATTCGCGCCGCGTTGCCGCTTCGCGTCCGGTGTGTGTCGGCCTTAAGCCTGCGACTCGAAAAAAATGATATTAATAATCGCGAAAGTTAAATTCGGCTAACACAGAGGTAGCGCGAGTAATTACCTCCAAGTTGATATTTCGCCAAGGTGATATCACACCAGAAAACTTTTGCACTCATTGACTGCGCGTAATATAAGAACGTTAACAACCACAGATATAGAAAATTAGAAAATGCAACAACTGAGTGAAATATGTAATAAAATGGTTAACGGTTTACAAATGATTACAAATCTATACAAATTACAATAAATTCTGGCAACGGCATCTATGATTAAATATCAAGCAGATATGTACTTGTGTGCACCAGACACTTTCTAAGTCTTAATATCCTATTTTAACACTTGATATTAGTTTCCTTACAGATCAATAATATATAGTTGCGTGTTCGTTTATTAAAGACACCACGTTTTATTAGTTAACAAAACAAAGCTCTCCCATTCGTATGCCTTATACAGATATTTACAGAAAATATTCACATCAGCTGGGTCTCCACTCGGGGAATTTATTCCCACGACGCGAACCGGAATCTAAAAACCTATGATGTGATTGGTCCGCGAAGAAATTCGCCGCGAAAATGTAGAATCCCTTCCTAATTCTTTATAAGTTCGCGCGAATAAATTCTGCAAGTGGAGAACGGGATTTAATTCCACTTAGCGTTTGGGAATTTCTATTCTAAGCTATTGCACTTACAAAAGAAGTCCGTCGGGCAAAACTGAATATATGAATATTCAACTCCCCCTCCCCAATTATCGTTCTAGTGCATGACGCCACTGAGTTCCGTTATCTTTCTTTTTCATCAGCATCAAACTTCAGGAACAAAATACAGCTAATTATATAGTTACTAAAATTCCTACCATTATTTTCATAACCAGTACAATCACCATCAGCACCATCGTAGACACAAGCACAATCACCACCATCATAGACGAGAAATATCACCACCAACATGACTGTAACTACTGACCATTATGGACATCTTAAACAACCCCATCATACGACTGGCATTGGTCAGTGTGAAACTTTAGGAACAAAATACAGCTAATTATATAGTTACTACAATTTCTACCATTATTTTCATAACCAGTACAATCACCATCAGCACCATCGTAGACGCCAGCACCATCACCACCATCATAGACGAGAAATATCATCACCAACATGACTGTAACTACTATAATGAACATCTTAAACATCCCCATCATACGACTGCCATGTCTTCCAGATGTATTCAAGATATCATCTTTGTTTCGTTTAACAAACTGTAACCCCAGTTAGGGAGGCAAGGGAGTGCTATGACTTGCCCAAGGTGAACTCCCAGACAAACGGAGGGAAGGAGGTGTCTTACCTCTCCATTCTAGACCAGCTCCAAGCAAAGTCTAGCCGTTGCCCCAAAACAATGTTCTTGATGATAGTTGTTCATGTTATTGTTCACTAAATCCATTATGAAATATCCTAACTGAAAAATCAATTCCAAAACATCTGCCGTTCATAACAAAGTCTTCTACTATTGGTTTTCGTCCTCGTGTGAACGGGTTCATTTCAGTTATTTTTAAGAATAAAGACATTCGCATTTAATTGGTATAAACCACCTTCAGGGAGACAAACATTTAAGAAAATATACAGCTTTGTGTAAATTTCGTAAAAACCTTTTCCGCGAGACGACCTTATTCGGGTTAAAGAAATGATTGATTACTGCATCTCGCTAATTTTCGTCCAACAAAGGAAGTTCTCGTTGTTTGATATCGTCCGAACAAGCAACTGGTAGTCGCTTAATATCGTCAAACAAGGAATTTTTTGGAATAGACAGTCGAAGAAACACCATATCACCTTTGCAGCCAGGAATAGCCAGCACATCTTTTGGGGAAAGTTGAATTGTTTGTCCTGACTCAAAAGCCTCCAAGTATCGTTGATAGGAATGTTCGAGAATCGCGCCAGA